ATTATAAAGCCACAGAGGGAAGTTCAAATACAAAGCCCGCAGGCAGATGATGTCCAGGTGAGAGATAACCTGACTGTTGAGACATCACCCATGTAGATAGAGGATCGAGAGGTGAAGTAGTTGCGGGATAAAGAAATTTCCTTGGTGAAGGTAGTGTGGAAAGGACCAGCAGGTGAGAGCATGACTTGGGAGCATGAGGATCAGATGAGAGAGTAATATTTGGCTATATTTTCTTCACGTAATTTTCAGGAACAAAAATTCTCTAAGTGGGGGAGAGTTGTAACACCCCAAATCTAGAATTTTTTGCTTTTATATCTAATTATGATTATTATATAATTTACGTTAGTGTGTTATAGGTTATTGGTAGGAATGTTAGTGTGGTGAGAACTATTTAGAATTATTTAAATAATAGCTTTTATGTGGTTTATTAATAAATAATAGAATAAAATAGAATAATTAGATGTGTAGAGATTTTAGGGATATGATGGTAATTGTGTGAGGATAAGTGGTGATAAATGAGGTAAACTATAGTTGAGGGATATTTTAAAAAGGGAATAAGGAAAAGTGAAGTCAGTTTACAATAGTACGTGAAAAGTTTGGAGAACACAAAGTTCATTCATTAGAGCTTGAAGAGGTCAATTGTTAGGAATAACAAGGTAATGGTGGGTAATTATGGTTGATTATGACCGGTATGATGGAAGGGTAGATGTAGGGTTTTAGTTATCTTTGGATTGATGATGGATTTTGATAATTGTGGGATGAAAATTCTGTTTTGAGTCAATTTCATGTTTATGTCGTTGTTAAGGTTTTGGAGGTTTTAGGTATAATAAAGAATCATGAAATTGTTGAATAAATGTGTTTGGATTTATTAATTGTGTGAAAATTGATGCATATATGTTGTGTTATTGTTGGGTGAAGTATATGTAATGTTGAATTGTTGATATAAGATGTTTGGGTATGTTTAGGTATGTTAGAGCATGTTTGGAAGGGTTTTAGACTAAAGAAAACTGAGCATTTTCTTCATAGGTTATGTGGTAATCGTTTACCACTTGTTGGTAACTGATTACCAGCTTAAAGTTTAAGTTTTTTTGAGTTTTCTGGGGATGTAAACAATTACCTCGTATCAGAAATCGATTATTGTAGGTTGGCAGAGAAATTTTTAGTCAAATACTGTTTTGATCATGACTTTATAACCGTGTATCTAAATGACGCCCCGTTTGAAGCATTATAAAGCTAACACAAAGAGATATAACATGAAAGAGATAGGTGAATTGTTTGAGTATTATTCATATGTCTAATATGTTTGTGAAGTTGATTTTTTATATGTTCTGCTAATGAATTATTGTATCGTTGTGATAATGTTATATTATTATGCCTTGTTATGATTATGAAGTTTGATATTTTTATTATGGTGTTGATGTTGATTATGTTGTGGGACTTCATGTTCTAAATAATTTTGTGGCCTTTTTTTTCCTATGGTGATAGTTCGAGTGCGATTGTTTATGTTGAAATGCTTATGTTGATAACGTCGTTGTTGTATGATTGAGAGTCCATGCATCCATGTTGTGGAACTTTAAGTTATAAATTATATTGTGGCATCGTTTCCTATGGTGATGGTTTGAGTGCAAGTAGCTAATTTGTTTATTCGATGAATTAGTGGAGTGTTACCTATGGTGATGGTAGCGATTTGGTGTACTCCGATTCCAAGAGGGAATTGATCCTATGGTGGGGATCATGGAGTGAAATGAACTTATGTGTTCATGTCAAGGTACCACATGCATTCTGTCAGTGTTGTTGCATTACATATTGTGTGGCATTGCATAAGTTTGTTGATGAATTATGATGTGATAATACTTGTGACTGTTATGTGATCATGTGGGAATTTTGTGATGAAGATGTTATGTGAGCTATTTATAATGAATGAAGGTGTGAGTATATGTTATGCCGATGTTGTTGAATTGTAAACTATAATTGTTAAAGTTTACTTGTCTCTTATGCATGTTATAATTAATTATGATTACCCACCCCTTCCGTTTGAATGTTGTCTCCAGATGAGTAACGTGCAGATATCCAAGAGTATTTAGCAGATGTAAGGAAGATATATCATTGGAGTATTAAATAGTTTACCTTTAATTTAAATGTGTCTTGTCTGATATGTAACATTGGGTTTGGAACGCTTCATTGGTTTTTTATGTCATAATTATGTTGAAACCTTTGCGTGGATTTTTATTGTCGAACTAATTTTATTTCTACTCTCTTATGAGAATAAAAGTTATGAGTTTGAAAGTTTAGAATATTTATTTGATGATGATTCCGCTGCGGTGTTTTAATTGATTATTGAAGTTGCATAAATATAATGAATGTGCATTGAAAGGAATAGTATTGTTGTAACCAGTGTTACAGAGCATAATTAATTAATGTTTTTCATGACGTGTGACACTCTTGCGTGGTGATTCTGATTAATTTATTTGTAAATTTTATGTGGGATTTATAAGGGTGTTACACACAGGGAATCATACACATCGCTATACGGGAAAAAATAATTACGATGCAATTTTCAATGCTCTTATTCCTTGTGTTAGTGGTCTGACACTGTTTGAAAAATTAACGTGCTTCCCTGAAATGGGACATCTTATAGCAAGTTCTTATGATAGGGTGTGTATTGATATGAAAAGATATGGTTTCTCATAAATATTTTTTCCACTTCGGAGTAGGCCACTTCAAAATCCATCCAGACACATGTGTATTAGGTGACTTTTGAAAACACAACATTTTGTTCAAGTTTATTTGAAATTGAGGTGTCCTATACCAAAGACTTCATGAAAGTGTACGAAACATTTCACAAAATAGGCTGAAACTTGGTCGAATCACTTTCTAGAAAGGATGAAAGAGTTCATCAAGTTGAGCGAGATTGAAAGAGAATCAAATAAGAAAAAGTAAAACGCGACACCATCCTTAGAAATAGATTTTGGTGATGACACATGTTCGATGCTTTTTAATTTTCATTTAACAATGTATTTAGACGGTGATTCGTTTTTTGTATGTATTGTTGAGACAATTTGATACATATGTAATGTATATTCAACATTAATTGTATAATAATTGGCCAATTTTATGAAAACTTGCTTTTAAAGCTCTTAAATTTTTTTCTCTACATAGAACATGTATTGGATGGAAACCAAGCATTTTCGGAGATGCACTTCCGAATTCGCCCCATTTCTACTCAACGCGGGGGTATTTTAGAGATACATCTTCATACAAACCTTTATTTTAAAACCAAATTGGATGGATTCGAAGATGTATACCCGAAATATTCTTTGAGCCATGATATGGTTGCTACGGTCCATAATGAATTAAAATTTGTATAAATACGTGGTATATCATATCATGTTGTTCACAAAAACACGCCACACCAGAATGAACATATATTAGCATGTCACATTTGTCTATTTCAATGGCGTGGAGTCCTTAATTGAATTTAAGGTCAATGAGTTCACCTCTTTTGTATATATGAAATTTCATACTAGAGAATCTCCTACATTACTCAAACAATCGGAGAATTGTGAAGCTCGAGTATCATTCACTCTTGATTGAGAATGAAGAAAAGATTCAATTCATCAACTTTTAGTTGAACACCGATGAGGATTTAAGGATTATGTGGAATATATTTAATCATTACAAAACAAAATATCTGATTCCGATCGAGCTGGATGTGAATATTGTGATATCTACCAAAGATATTCTGAAGATGTTGCAACGTCCAGCTTATGGATAATGTTAAGTTATGTTTACATGTCTATCTTATGATTATCTATGTTATCTTACATATTTATGTTATGATTATCTATGTAGTGTGACATATTTTAATATTAATTTATGTTTTTCTTCAATTATCTGCATCCACCAGTTATTGGTTTCTGGTTTAAGCTTATAATGTTTATTTCGAATATGCATCTCTATAAACTTTTTTGATTTTTGAATTACGGTTGTTATGGAGATACACTTCTGGATAAACATTAATATATTTACAGAGGTGTATCGTATCTTCAGATACATTTTTGAGCAACATGAGATGACTCACTCTCAAAAATATTGAGTGTGTAATTTAAATACGCGTGAAGATTCATCTCCAAAGTTCATAACTTTTTGTGACTTTTCACTATGATGAACTAACACTTCTAAAGATAAGAATAGTTATACCTCCTTCTGTCTTTTTTATAAGTAAAAGTCTTCTAAATTTTTGTCTTAAATATAAATACACATATCAACAAATTTAGTGTCATTATTCCAAAACTATTACTATACTAATACTTATTATTGTTAATAGATAATAATTTAATTAAAGTTAGATTAATCAAAAAATTAAATAAACTTAATTATCAATTTCTAATACAGTAAGGGTGAAAAAAAAAGTATGATTGAGGCGAATACCCTTTAAATTTCAATCTTTTTGGTCCGACCATTCAAATACCTGAGTTCGTCAAAGGTGGATACGGGAATTCTCTTTCTTTTTGCCTTTTCTCCTAGCTGTTTTCCACAACCACCCTTGACGGTGACTCCTCATTATGCTCCACCACATTCCTCCAATCGAGTAAAAGAATCTTTTAATAGCTCCACCAAAATAACAACATTTTTTGCATTTCAAGATTGCAGAGTGTTTTAAACAAGTCCAAAAATATGCAAGAGTAATTTCATCTAGACCGGGTTTAAGACCAAAAATATAAAAAAAAAAACATTTAATCCTGAGATTATATTAACTCGCAGTGGGTTCAATTTTAATTATAAAAATATGCAGAGCAGAGCCTCCAGATCGAAGATCCAACATCTCTCTAGTCTCATGAAGAGATCTAGAATAAGGTCAAGACAAAGGGATAAAACGTAATTGCTATTATGCTGATTAATCTAATACATCATCCACAAGAGAGAGAACAATAAACAACTAAAATTTATTTTGGGTTTAAAAAAACAAAAAAAAAAAAAAAGGTCATAACTCATAACGATCAGTTGGTGAAGTTTGGCAATGAGGCATGAGGCTCAGTGGCCTTAGCAGCAGGAGAAGGCTCAACATTTGGTGATGGTTCAACAGGGTTCCCAAGTAACTCATCTGGCAAATCAGGAATACCCTTCAAGTAAAACCTGTAAAACAGCTTAAATGGGAACACAAGTTGATGGAGTTTAACTTGTCCATGAACACCTTCAAAGATTCCAGATCCTCCTGTTACAGCGAGATATGTGTCTTGGTATGTGAGATAAGGTCCTTGTACTGATATGTGACCATAGTCTCCAAAATAGAAGCTGTAAATTGCTTCATATCTGTCCCCCTTTTTCTCAGGTACATGCTGGATCAGTATACATAAGCCTGCAGTTATGCCTATTCTTTTCTCCAAGTTTCCTGAGTACAGTTTGTTGCTGAATGGAACTAAATCTCCAAGTGAGTTCATTGGTCTTTGACTTAGTTTAAGGTATGCAGGACTTCCTCTGTCACGTTCATTCATCTCATACACAAACAGTTCTTGAACTTTATTAGCTATAAATATTAACAAATTAACTAATCAGTATACTTTTCCAACTTTATAATTAAAAAATGCGATCTGAGACTTAGAAGCCGTACCTGGCTTTGAAGATTCTTGATGCTCCTTTAGGTTATTGAACAAGAGTGCGGTGGTTGTGGTGTTCTTGGAACTTGTTCTGCTTGTAGAAATGTTGAATTTTTTAGTTTGGAAGGAGTGAGAGAGACTAGAAGAAACTAGTTGCTTTTGAGTTTGAAGAGGAGATGTAGAACTTGAGTGAGAAAGTTTGAGGGGAGAAAGAATTTTGAGAGAAGCCATTGAATTTGATGAGTCAAGAACTGGTAAGAGAATGGGTTCTTAAAGGTAGATTTTATAAATGAGAAAAGTTGGAAAATAGTTATGTTTATGACACGTGTATATGTGTATTCTATAAGTGGGAAATGTAAGTGGGAATCCCTTTAGTGGATTGGAAAGTAAACATTCTTTTGCCCTTTCTTTCATTTTTGACATTCTGCAAATGTGTTGGACAATATGTTTTTGCTATTAGCACTTTGAAATCTTCATGAATTTATGTTTGAGTTTACTTCTTATGTTTGAATTTACTTCTTATCTAATAGTCCAGAATTTACTTCAAATCTTGTCTACTGATGTATCTGCAGCAAGAAGGATTGCAAGGAAGGTTAGTGCTCGCGGTGGTGGGCTTCCTATGGCGGAAACACTCAGGGTAGTTTGTGTGGATTCCACTGAAATAGCTTGCATGTTGTTGAAGTCTAACTGGATTGGAGCTGATAGGGTGCAAAATTTGGAAGCTCAAGAAGGATTGGATGTAGAAAAAGGTTACTATGCTGACTTTTCTCCAGAAATGATAATAGAAAAATACATGAACCTAACCTCTGCTAAAAAATCTTCACCATAGGGAGTTATTAATTATCATTTGACATTGGAATTCGGTAAATTGAAATAAGTTGTACTTGCCTTAATGGGTTATAATTATGCGTATTTATCAAATATGCGTAGGTAGTAAATAAGTTCTTTTTATATGATTATTGTCTTCCTGACAATTAGCTTTATTTCGTGTTACTGTTAAGACTGTTATGTTATTTGTGTACCTTTTAAATGCAGAATATTCTGGTTTTGGATATGATAAAGCTTCATGTGGATCAGTTGTAGTGAAGGTATGTATATATTTATGTCTTGATAGTTGATACAATATTTATGTGTATGGATCAGCTCCTTGATTTCTTAATAGTACATGACACGAAATCAAAGGTACCTGAGATTATATTGACTCTTAAAGAGGTACTATTGTATTAATTGTGAAAACTTAGTTATGCAGTATTATTTGTCCCTTTCCCATGTAGCATTTCATCGCACATTCCTTATTTCATTCTTTTCATTTGATTATAGGTTCATAAGCTGTTAATATTTCATCTTTAATTTATAGGTTTTTAACGCGTTATTGAGATACAAGGAGCTGAACTCAGGTTGCTATACATGAGTTACCTGAGTTATTGTCATACCTGAGTTTACATATGCCTTTAGAAACTTGAGTTAACTGTTATAGTTATTGACATACATGAGTTTTCATCTATCATAATAAGCTCCAGACAGAGAGCATGTTATTAACTCTCGCGACTCTATTTTGTTATCTTGTGACTTGTGTTTGGTTTTTGTCTATTATTCTTTATATCGATCGAAGGGAATTAACGAGTAATGTTATGCAGGCATTAGGTGCAGTGGGCGGTGCTATGGCAATTATGAAAGTAATGCCACCAAAATACAGCAACATGGCTCAGAATATTCATCATGAAACAAAGCTCAACAATGGAACAAAAAGAGAAAATTTTGGTGATACTAATTCAAAGTAAAAACTTGATTATATTCGAGTTTGAGCATGTCGTGGTCAAGCCCTTGATAGTCATAGCTTAGCAAAAAGAGTAAGTACAATGAAATCAATTAGACATTTGTTTGGTTTGTTGTTCAGTATGTCTTTTTCTGTGAGTTTCAATGTAAATTGTTAACGTTGTGTTTGGTTTTTTGCAGGTTAAAAGGGAAAAGATAAGTGAGAGGATGAAGTATTTACAAGATTTAGTGCCTGGATACAACAAAATTGCAGGAAAAGCTGGAATGCTTGATGAAGTTATTATGTTCAATCTCTTCAAAGACAAGTTGAGGTTCGAGTTTTAGTCCTGCTCAATTTCTTTCTATTGGAAATTAATTACTCATAAAGAAAATTAATTAGGCTGAATGATAGTGTTTGATTAAGTTTTAGTTTATTGGCTTGATTTTAAGATCAAATAATTGAAGTTCGCCTATAAATTAGCTGTTGTAAATCCAAGACTTGACTTCAAAATTGATGAAATGTTTTCCAAAGAGGTAAGCGCAATGCAAGTGATAATTTAGATGCAACATCATAGTATTTTGTGTTAGGTCTGTGACTGCCAATTAAGGTTGTATGACTGTATCAGTCACATTCGACAGCGATTATCTATAATATCACTAAACGTGATTGTGATTGTGACTGCAATTTAAAAAGTTTATTTCATTCTTTTCTTTTATCTTTCATACTAATTTGATCTTTACAGGTTTTTCCTCAAAATTTTCCAACCATAGGGATGCAATTGGATCTACATCATCCCAGCAGATTCGCCTCTGCCTGCAGTGCTGTAATAGTAAACCCTAGATAAAATAATTTCAATATCATGTTTTCTTTCCCTATATTGAGTTTGGTGTCATTGCTTTGGTATGTGTTCTGTAGCACTTGTCACATAAGTCCTTCATTTTTTTTGCAGGAAGCATTGTATGACAACAACCTTGATGTAGACTTATTATAGACAAATGGCAATGTCCATTTCAACTTCAGACCCAAAACCCCTGGCCCATTTTCATGAATGTTTATCATTTCTACGACGAAGAGCGCAATGCAATCTATACAGGCAACATGACCAAACAATGTTGTTATATCAAGTGTAGCTAGATTGTTGGTTTCCTTGATTGATGTAATTTTAGGTTGTCATTCCCTATTAAGACATCTCAAAATTTTGTTAGTAGCTACAGTATTGGGAGTAACATGACCAAGAGTGTGTAAGCGATTGATTATATGAGAAAATCTCTTTTGCATATCTGCAATGGTTTCACCATGCTTCATGTGAAAGAGATCAAACTCTTGAGTCAATGTATTGATTCTAAAAAGTTTAACATCATTTGTCCTCTCATGGGCAATTTGTAGAGCATCTCACATTGCCTTAGCAGTAGTACAATGGGAAACTCTAAAATACTCATCAACACCTAAAGAATTAATAAGCATATTTCTACCTTTCCAATCATCGCTATACTTTTTCTCGTCTTCCTCATCCCATAGTGCTTCTGGATTGGGTATGGTAACGTTATCCTCATTGGTCATGGTTATTTGTATAGGACCATCCTCGACAACTTTCCATATCTTTCTATTAATAGAATTAATATGCACACGCATACAATCTTTCCAATAGCTATAGTTTTCATCGGTGAAAACATGAACTCTCGTATAAGCCCCTTTTGGACCGTTCTCCATATTCTACAAAGTAATATGCAAAGCACCAGATAAATCGGCACTCTGATACCACTTGTTAGACTATGTGTTCGATCTAGAAGGGGGATTGAATAGATCGTTTAAAATAATTTGCGCTTTTTTTAAAATTGTTTTTCAGAAATATATGCGAAAGCTTTGGGAATCTACAATCGTCTAAACGATCCTCTATTGAAAAGATCAGATATGTGTAACCGTATGAGATAAGATGACAAAGTAAGAATCAATACTTTTTACTCAATTGGTCAATCACTTATACACCTTCAATGAGTATGAATTACTTCTAATGAGTTGATTAAGATAAAGCTAGACACAATGAATAATTTGTAGATGAGTCAATTTGTCAAACACCTTATGTGCAAAACACCTTAGGCTTGATTTTACTAAAATGTAGTGGTGAGTTTTTTTAGGTATCAATCAAGCGGATTGTTACCAATATTGTGAAATGATCTCAACACACCACAATTTCAGTACAAGCAAATTTAACAAGTTAATTTCCACAGATTATAGTAATCAAGTATGGAAATAAAAAAAAGAAGAAGAACACATGATTTGCTAAGGAAGTTCCCCTTGTCGTCCTCGCGTAGGGTACGTCTTCCCCTAATTCTAGAATCTAGAATTGAGATATTTGATATTAAGTTGCAAATGTTACAAGAGAAGAGATAGTTCACAATACAAATAAACCAATGTTGTTGATGTAACAGTCTTCTTCCCTTTCTTTGGTTTAAGCCAAACTAAATGCCAAATTCTTCGAACAAACCTCTGGTTACCGCTACTTGATTAAGCAAACCCACCATTTCTTAATCCTTTCACTTGACTGATTTTGATCGCAAGCAATTTGACCCCAAATCTTTCTTCATAATCCTCCGGTTATCGCTACTTGATTAAGAAAACTCACCGTTTCTTAATCCTTTCACTCGGCTGAATTCGATGAAGCAAAAAATTATGCAAAAACCCCTGCACCAATTAGAATCTTGGAGGAGAAAATCCAAACGATTTTATTCAAGAACAGTCCACAATTGCTCAACCCAAAACAAAATTGAATCCTTGATTTGAACATTATCACCACAAGACTTTTCTTGAATCATGATTATGTGTAGATGTTGACTTTTGAGAAGAGAGGATGAAGATGATGAGCACTATGTGTATCTTTCACTAGTTCTTGTTGAATTGAAATGATGATACTCAATGAATATATATATATATATATATATATATATATATATATATATATATATATATATATATATATATATATATATATATATATATATATATATATATATATATATATATATATATATGTTACCTAATAGTCAAGATCCAAAAGCATAGTAGAAAAACAGTTGAAAGAAGTGAGCGGTCGACTCAAGCAGTAAGGGGGGTCGGCGCGACACAACCCGCAGGTGGAGGAAATCCATTTTGAAGTGTAGTGCGTCGAACGCTACATGGCTTACGTCGATGCAATATTTGAATATTTTGATTCCCAGATTGAGTCGACAGGAAGGGTCGACGCAACACATTCTGAGCTTGGTTGAGAATGATGAGTCGACGACACATATCTTTGAGTCGACGCAAACATTGAATTTTCCCAAAAATGAATGTTTCTGGAGATCTTCATTCCAATCATTTCACATCAAGATTGTTCATAGGACCAACCCAAATGGAGAGTGAGTAATAACCGTTTTGACATCATTAAAACACATATAGAGGGACCTTGCCCTCACAGGCTGTGGAGACGCCACCTATGCAGATAGAGGATCGAGAGTTGAAGCAACTTTGTGGTAAAGAGATTTCCTTGGTAAAGGTAGCTTGGGGAGGACCGGCGGGTGGAAACGTGACTTGGGAACTCGAGAGTCAGATAAGGGAGTCTTATCCTGAGTTGTTTATTTGAGGTAATTTTCGAGGACGAAAATCTTTTAAGTGGGGGAGAGTTGTAACAGCCTGATTTTCTTTATTAATTATTTTATTATTTAATTTCCATGTTAATTATTATTTGGTTGGTAATTCTTTAATTATTTGATTTGGGTGAATATGTGATTGGTTGAATAAATTGGGTGATTCTGTGAATAATTGATTTAATTGGAATATGTATGTATTATATGTTATTGGGTTATTGAGTGTGAGAATAGAAAAATACACATTTGGACCTTATGTTACATTAGAGTGGGTGAGTGAAGTTAAGCCCATTTAGAGTTAGTAAGAGTTGAACAAAATAAGGAAAATATAGAATTAGAAAGAGAAAGTGAAGAAAATAAGTGAAGAGAAGAAAGAGGAAAAGAGGAGAAAAGAGAGAAAAGGAGAAGAGAAGAGGATAAATCCCTAGAGTATCTACATCCAAGGTAAGATTGGGTATTCATTGATTTATGGGTGTATGTAATGGTATGTGATGGGTAGTGTTGTACCCTAAAATTTGCCTTCTCATTTCTCAAGCCATTTCTCACAAGGATTCCCAAGATTCAAGCTTGCACAAGTACATTTAGAGTTTCCAGTACCAAGTTAAAAATGAAACTGTCAAAAAAGGAGGAAAACAGATAAAAATAATCTTTTTGACAAAATTGGAGAAAAATAAGTCTTTTTGATTCAGCTCATTCGATTGGCCTTTTGACCTCTTTCGATGCAAGCTTGGCTTGCATCCTTCGACTGGGCATGGGCCTCTGGCGCATTGGATTTGGTTCACAAGGAAGGAGCTTCCTGCACGCCATCTTCGATTGCACCTTTGGCCTCACAGGGTTCACCATGCAATGGCTGCCTATGTGTCTGCTTCGATTGGATGTTTGATGCATGCATGTGTTGACTGGACAATTATTCCCCCATACTTGCTAGCTGCGTACAAGTCTTTGTTTGAGTCACAACTTCTTTCTTGCGCGCAAGAGGATTTCCCCCATGCTATCATGCATTAGGCACAAATCCTCGTGTAATCTCCTTCGATTACAAGGCAAAAAGCCTTCTTTTTGCATCCTTCGATTGCATATTTTTTTTCCAGCCTAGCATGCCTCTTTCGTCTGGGCATCTTTGCAAGCCTAGCATGCCTCTTTCGTTTGGGCATGTGGCCCCCTTTGTTGCAAGCTTCATTTGGGCGATTATACCTCCTGCATGTAGACTTTGACAGAGCATTGGCTATGTTTCCCTTTAGTATGTTGCAATTCCATCATTGACAAACTTCAGCACACATGGATGGTGACCCCCTTCAAAAGACATTTAGTGGTTGATTTGAAGGGCATACATATGAGTCCCTGTCGAAGGGTATACCTTACTAGTCCATTCGAAGGACACATTTGGCCCCTTTCAAAGAAGCATACATGATCCATTCAAGGGACACGTAAGGGAATCCCATTCGAAGGACATGCTTGATGGATCATTCGAAGGATTTACAAAGCCCACCTTAAGGCATTTTTTGGTGACCCATCCAAGGGTCACACATTTGGCTCCTTCAAATGATGCACAAAAGTGACCCATTCGAAGGACACTTGTTGGAGAAAAATCAAATAACATTATTGGAAGAGGAATCTGGTCGAAGGAAGGTCAAAACGAAAGAATGAAATGTTCAAATATGCTTGTTGCCAAGTTCAGGCCTGGTACACTGGCCAAAACTGCTGCACGGGAATCCTGAAACACTGCCCCATTCTTGCACCAAAATAACATACAAAGGAATGTCCCTCGAAAGCTACAAAGAGCAGTTTACTCAATTTGTTCAAATTATTTTGTTTTTCCTCCAAAAGCTTCAGCCAACTTTGCCTATAAATAAGAGTCTCCATAACATGTTTAGGAGGACTTTTTTGGGCTAAAGGGAACGAATCTTCAAAATTCTCAAACACTCTCAAAAATCATCAAACTCTCAAACACTTAAACACTCATCAAACACCAACCCAGAATCTAAAAATTTGTCCCCTTCGAATCTGAAATATCCCCACACCTTGTTATCCTTCGAATCCAGTAGGAAGAACCTCAAACTTTTTCTTCTCTTTCGAATTCAGTATCAAAGGCATAACCCCCGGTTCCTTCCTTCGAATCCAGAAGCACTCAAGGCAACCACTTAAAGGCCTAACACACTCCCAGCCTCAAGCAAGGTAAGTCATTCTTAACAATGGATCCTTCGTGTTGTACCCCAAAATTTGCTCTCTCATTTATCAATTATTTTCTCACAAGATCTCCTTTGGTTCAAGATTGCACAAGGGTTAATCGGCTAAAGACACCTCCTTAAGCATTGATGACTGAAATTAGGGTTTAAGATTTCACAAGGATAATTTAACTTTTAATGCTTCA